TATATATATATATATATATATATATATATATATATATATATAAATAAAGATGGGAGTAATATCCAACCCAGCCCGATTTGAGATGCAATTGATGTGGACCAAGTGTCAACGAGGTCGGTTCACAAGACAAAGTTTACAACGTGATTTTGCTTTTTATTTTTTTTTGAGAGCGAGATTTTGCTTTTTATTTGTGAGGCACACAAAGTAAATTATCAAGATAAGAGAAACTTTGTATGTAGTCCACAACCCAAAAATCCAAGATAAAACAAATTTTTGTTATAGATATAACAATTTGGTACGTACACTCCATAATCGGGCAAATTCCAAACATATCATTAGAACTACAATTTCTCTATTTTCTCTCAATCAATCGAAGATGACTACTGCTGGCTCAGGAGAAAAGAAGGATGTTCCAGTCAAACAAGCTGCTATTGTTGTTGGTGTGCTTGCACTTGGGGGTTTAGCCGTTCAGCTGGTCATCAAGACCTTCTTTAACAAGGATTCATCCGGTTCGGACAAGCCCGATGATGCTGCCCCGGCTGCTCCAGCTGAGCCCACCACCTAATCAGCTGGAACATCATATGAAAGTTTTATATGCACCCGGAAGCACATTTCTTTAGGTTTATTTGTTTGCGGTTCATTTCTTGTGTTTATGATTTTTATTTGTTGGGTCTTTTGTTGCTTATTATGTTAACGTGAACAAATTTTTTTATGAATAAATAAAAAATAATAGTGATGTTTGATTTTGTTGTTGTCAAATAATTTTATTGCTCAAGTTTCGAGTCATTGCATTTTAATAAATTATTGGAGATATTGTTTCTCTTCCTATGATTACTTTATATTGCTTAATTTAGTTCTCTAATTAGAGCATTGTAGAAATAAATGTAGTGGCTAACCATGTACGGATGTACCTCCATTTTGTAGGTAAGTTATAAAATTAAGGTTTTTAGAATATGTATTATCAATTAAATATTGTACCGTGAAATAAACATCAAATCTATTTATTTTAGCATTAAGTTCCAAAAAATTAACCATTTTAATGGTTTTTTTTGGCAAGGTCAAGGATTTGGTTATTGTATTACCTCTGTGTCCTATAATATCGCAATGTTATTTTTCTTTTAGAAAATTTCAGAACCATTAAATATATCCATTATTGGAAAATATACCAGATACAATCAACAAAAGTACCCATGTTGCGGGTTACAGCCTTTAAGTTTATTTTGGTAAATACAACATAAAAACACATCTTACATTCAAAACTATAATCCACTTTGTTCTAGAGTAATTGACACATTCAAACTTACACATGTCGATGCAGTAGTTTGACTTATTTTTTATATAATTAAATATTAAAGAAAATTAAAAAAAAAGGTGATATTATGAAACTTTATATTAATATTTATCTAACAACATATTTCATGATAAAAAATTAATTTTATTATGTTAATAAAAAACCATAGTCAAAGTTAATATATGAATAATGTAAAAAGTCCAACGCGCCAATTTTTCAGGGATGGATGGAGTATAAGGTCGGGATAGCCTGAACCCAAAAAACCTTCCCAAAATTTGGCAAATCTTGGGCGGGGTTGTATTTGATTAGTTTAGGCCCTGTTCTCTTCACGTTTTTGCTGAAATGAAATTATTAATGTTGAATTGAAATTAATGTTATGGATTAAACTCATTTTTAATGATTCTTTATTGTTTTTGTTTTTTAAAAATACTAATTTTCACTAATTAAACCTTATTTTTATTAAATTAAAATTATTTTGGCTAAACTGAACTTATTTTTACTGAAGTGAAATTATATTATACTGAACCAAAGTTATCTTCACTGAATATTATTTGAATAAGTACAGTTGAAGAGAATATGGCCATACTATACTATATTGTACTTGTTATACCATTTAAATTAAAAGATGGTTATGGATCACACTAGGTTGTGTCACATGTTAAACTCAAGTGCTTGTGCCTTGCTAGAATTGACCCACGGATAAGCACACTTGCTAAATGTCGTGCTGAAAATTTAAAAATGGCAGAATGTTATATAACACGTGACAATTTTAACCGATTTACCTGGTCATAATAAGTTGGGCACTGTTCTAAAAAAGTCCCCCGAGATTAGGACCACTATGAGTTAATCAATAGTTAGGATTGTTTAAAAAAGAACATCCGTAATTTGGGCTGGTAAGCATCATTTTTTCAAATTAAAATCATGAGAGATAATGTGACGATTATGATTTTTCATCAAAATGATTTTTAAAGATAGGAGGATGGTTATGGAAGTGGTTGAGTGGGTTATAAAGAGTTAGAGTTGTGGGTTTTTGGCGAGGGGTGATTAATTTCGAAAGTGTTTGGGTGGTTTTGACGGAATTGAGTGGATTTTGGAGAAGTTTGGGGGATTGGGTGGTGGTGTTTGGTTGTGTAGTTAAAACAACTTGAAATGTATGTGTGTTTAGTGGTCACCTGCCTGATAAATGAGTGGTTAAAACCAAAAAAGAAAATTTAATGTCTGAATCTAGCATAAAGTAGTAATTTTTTGTATACATAAGATTCATGTGAGTAATTTTTAAAATAGTATATTTTTCGAATATCAGCTTTCGATGGTTATACTCCGTTCTTAATATAATTAAACATAAGTTTGTTCTAGGACATTTATTTTAAATTTGAGAAAGTATCTAATATTACTCCTTTTGTTCCATAATATAATTCTAGTTTTCCTTTTTGGGTGTCCCAAAATCTTGTTCATTTTTTTTATTTTTTTTCCCTTTTTCATACACTATGAAATATCGAAAATATCCTTATTATTTTTGTCTTTATTCATTACACTACCGAAAGTACCCTCACATTTCTTCTTATTATTTGTGCCCTCACCTATTTCATGTACTTTTCTCTTTCTTTATGTACACACTAGTCTAATGTGCACGTGATACGTGTGTGGTTGAAGTATCGAAGCTTAAAAATATATTTATAATTATGACCTATGACCATAAAAAAAAAAAACATTTATTACGTGTATCTAGTGTAAAAAAAAAAGTTAGAATAATGGAAGGGAAACAACATTAAAAATATAATGCAAAAATAAAAAATGATTTGGAGTTAAATGTTAAAGGGCAGGGGATTGATGTATGCAATTTCTTTTGTACTTCTGGAATACCATGCACAAGGTACTCCGGGTTTATAAAATTCATGTTATTTTGATGTGAACTTTTTAATTATTGTTTCAATTAATATATATATATATATGTTATTTTTAAATAAACACATGTTATTTTATACATGCATGCTATTTTTTTATATTCAACATCGATCATTTCACTCTATAAAGCTCTTCTGTTAATTTGGATATTATATACTCTTTACATAATTTTCATGTAATTTAGTTCTCTCAAATGAGTAAGAACTCACATAAGTTGATTTTGAATACAAAAATTATCAATTTTAAGCAAACTAACACAAGGACTAAGAAAATAACACAAAGTTTATGTAAATAATACAAGTATTATTGGTAAAATAACATGAGATGAAACTTATGTAAAATATAACAATGTTTTGGCAAAATAACACAAATTTTATGTAAAACAGCACGAGTTGAGGTTGAAGTAAATAAGTAAATAGTAACATATTGTTTTAGCAAAATAACACAAGATTTAAGTAAATAGTAACATATCTGTTCTTGATGAAATATATTTTCATATTAATTTTCATATATTCTAAGAGAAAATACAAGTTTATAACCTTGATGAACAATTTATGTTTATCAAAGGGTAATTATGTATTTGACAACTAACTAGTGTTAATTGTTGTTAGTTGCTTTCCCCCCTCTCCCTTGATTTTCTCTCTCCTCCTTTAACATTTAATTTTAATGGCAGAAAATGTGCATTTCACTACAACATCGAGTTAGACGAAATCAATAGAGGAACGAAAGCTTATTACCCTTTAGGGTTAAGCATACCCTTTATTTCTCCCTTTGAAATTCGGGTTTTCGTTTAATTCCGGTGACGAAGCGGCCATAAATGGTGGTGCAAAGCCGAAATCTATGGAGGATTAACTCACATACCCTTTAGGGTTAACCATGCCCTTTATTTCTCTCTTTGTTATTCGGGTTTTCGTTGAATTTTGGCGGCGAAGCCGCCGAAAATGGTGGTGCTCGTGAAGTCGAACGGCTTGGAAAGAAGATGAAAATGAGTGTGGATTGGAGATAGAAGATAGAAGTTGGTGGGAGGAAGGAAAAAGAACAAGAGGAATAAGAAGGTAGGAAGAAGGTGGGAAGAAGAAAATGAATAAGAAGGTGGGGAAGAAGAAGGTGATGAATAGTATCTGTCAACATTATTACCATGGCCTACAAGCAGTAAATATATATTTATTTAATAAAAAAAAATATAAAGTTCAATGCAACTTAATTACAAAAATGCCAATTGATATGATCTTGCTCATATATCTAATGCAAAGGAAATTTGATATTCGCTCAAAAATTATATAAAAAATAGTCAATCATTTCTAAAGCAAGGTGATATATTCTCATTAAACATTATTATTACTACTGTAATAATGTTAAACTTAACTTGAATTTTTTTTTTTTTTTAAAAAAAATGGTATTATTGTTATTACAATTCACGAGTATTATTTTTTTATAAATTTCCTTTTTCATTAAAATTGACTGATTGAATATTTGATGATTTTTCATCTTCTATTTTTCTTATTATAGCTTGATTGGAATATTGTATTAACACAATTTAACTCTAAAGGGCATTTTGGGTAGTTTAAAAGTTGCCAACCAACTTTTTAATCCCTCTCCCATTTGGCTTATATTATTATTTTTGAAAACACCCAAAAACTACGGTGGCTACATTCCAAATATGACTTGGGAAGTCATTCGACCACACTTTTAGACAAAATTTCAAAGTTGGTAGTGAGCCAATTCATGAGTCATTTTATTACCACTACGCTATATTATTTATACCCACTTACATGTCTTGTACTTTTCTCTCTTTTTTATATACTACTTTATTTTTCCATTTCTTAATTACCGTAAAAAGTCGAATTTCCTTATAATAAACTCGTCCAAATTTGATAATCACCCTCTAGTCCTTGAGACTCGACCCTCTTGCTCCTCAGGTGACTAGCTAGGTGAGAACCAAACTGATGGAGGCTTCACGGACTCCGAGACGACTGAAGGGTCACACTGCCACCGCTAATTCCTGCATCTCCTCTCGTCAACGCCCTTCTGTCGTTTTCACTGCCGCCGAGGTTCTTTCCCCTTTTTCTTCCTCCTATTGCTTTAACATACTTAACCTTTACTTGTTTTTTTTGATTAATTACTTTATTGTTATAGATACAGTAATTTTCCCATGTTCCAAATTTTGATTTTTCATGGCCCCTTTTCTTCATTTTTCTTTAATTGTTGTAACGTTTACATTTTTCTTGATTTTGGGAAGTTAGGAGTATGATCATTGTTTATTATGTTTGATTGTTGCTGGGTTATGAATTTAGATCTCTGGGAGTAGGGTTGTTTTATTAGAATGAAGGACGTTTATTTTGGGGGATTGATGCTTCTTATGTAGGATTGTGGATTGAATGTTTGGATTTGGAAAGTTGTATTTTTATAAGAAAGATTGTAAACAAGATAACACGGATAATGCTGCTGACACCCATTTGAACAATAGATTGTTATTTTACAGGAGAAATTGAATAATAGGATAATTAACCTGGGTGAATTTTGTAACTTGTGGGCTTTGGAGCACTGTAGAGTACCTTAGCAAGTTCTTGCCTTTGGGAAATAAGATTACCAACTTGATTTTTCGACAAAATCTTTGTGAAATTCAGTCTCAGAGATATTCTTGGAACTAGGTTGGCAGTTGTGAAATTAAGTTTCTTTGTTGGTTTGGCAAGGTATTAAGTCTGTAACAGCACCTATAAGCTTTGGAGTTTTTTCTGGAAAATGTTGGAGTATCGCCTTGCACAATGTGATTTTTCACTTTCTTTCCATCCGCTACGAATTAAGTAAACCTTATCAATGGCTTTCCAACATTAAACAGCTGGAAGTCATTTTTGGATTCTCTAGGGATTGAGTAAACCTTATCAATGACTGCATTCTAAGTTGTAGTTCATCAAGTAAGGTAGACCAAATGAAATAAAAAAGGTTTGTCATTGAATATCAATGATGTTTGCCTATTATGCTTGGTCTCATATTACACCCTAATAAGTTGTTCAGTTGTGCTAATATTATCACTTTCTAGGGTGACTTAAGACATTGTTATGGAGAGACTTAGTTTGGCCACTTCAGTCTATGGGGTCAGGTGAGCAGCCTTTTCCAACTGCTTTCCTTTGCCTTATTAAACTATTTTTGCAATACCTTTCTTTCTTAGCCCACCGCTTTGTTTCATATAATGCCTAATATTAGGCTTCCTACTAGAGAGAATAAATAACAGCCTTTAAAAGTCTTCCAAAAAAAAAAAAAAAAGGTAATGTTCCATAGTTCCATCTTCTTTAAAATAAAAATTAAGATCGTCTTTAATTTCATAAAGCATATTTATTGTTTGGGCATGAAAAGTAATTGATCAAATTATTTATATTGATCTTGGATGGAGGCTCAATACTATATGTGTATATGCCTTGGACCTTGTTATGTTGGTAAGCAAATAAAATCATCAGCTAGGATTGATTTATAACCATTATTACTCTTTTTGTCCAAATTTGATTGTCATCATACCAAGTTTTGTGCAGAGTTTTATCCAATAAGTTGTTAGTTTTATCTCATATTCTCTCCATCATTACTTGATAAATGTTATGGACTGACTTCCGGCAGCTGGTAATGCAACCATTAATTATAATGGTTAAGAGAAGGAAGGCTTAATACTTGATTAATAATAGAAGAAGGATTACAAACTAATAGCTTTAGGCTATTACTCTCACAAAGTAGTTTGAGGCCACTTTACACTCAATTTATGGATGTCCTCCCACTAACACATACCATACTACTTATACTAACATGGTGAAGGATGACCTTAAGGCTTAACATGTGATACTTAGCTAATTTAGAAAAGCATAAATAAACAACAAAGAAACTAAGTTGCTTTCTTTCCTTCTCTTCTTCTTAATTAATTTGTCTTCTTCTGAATTGGAGTTGTCTTGAGGCATAGGATTGTTCTCTGCTGCTGCTCTTGCTTGACCTTGCTGGACTTTCTTTCTTCTTGCATAGACTTGCATAGGTGGTTGACCCGAATTGAGGCTTGGACTATTTGGATCCATGACAATACCCTGCCCCAAAAGACTCACCTTGTCCTCAAGGTGGAAGTCCGGGAAACGGCGGTTCAAGGACTCCCCGTCTTCCCACGTGGCTTCGAACTCCGGCATGCCCTTCCATTTGACGAGGACTTCCCAGCCCCTGCTCCTGCCCCTGCCCCTGCCATCGATCTCCGATCGGACCTCCAAGATATCTTCCGGTTCCACAATTAGTTCCATCTCCTTGCTTAATTGCTCTGGCACGACAGGATTAACCATGGCTGCTCCCACCGCGCGTTTGAGTTGGGAAATATGAAAAACGGGGTGGATTTTACAAGTGGGTGGCAGTACAGCTTGTACGCCACTTTCCCCACCTTCTGCAGTATGGTGTAAGGCCCATAATATCTCACCGCTAGCTTCTCAAACGGCCGCCTAGCCAAAGATTTCAGGCAATATGGCCGGAGCTTCAAATAGACTGCTTCTCCTACCGCAAATTCATCATCTCTCCTCTTCTTATCTGCAAACCCTTTCATCAGTTGCTGAGCCTTCACCAAATTAAGTTGCAATTCCTCCAACACGAAATCCCTTTCCTTCAACCATTCCTCCAGGCTGCCGATGGGTGTTTGCCCGGAATTGGCCGCCACAATTTCGGTGGTTCCCTCCCATAGACCACCTTAAACGGGGTCATCTTTGTGGAAATGTGTGGCGATATGTTATAAGAGTATTCCGCCCATACCAACCACTTAGCCCACTGTTTTGGTTGACCCGCCACGAAGCACCGGAGATAAACTTCCAACCCCTTGTTCACGATCTCGGACTGACCGTCCGTTTGCGGGTGGTACGAAATGCTTCGCTTCAAGTGGGTCCCTTGTAGCCGAATAACTCGCGCCAGATTATGCTCATGAAAACACGGCCACGATCGGACACAATGGATGACGGGAATCCATGGAGTCGAACCACCTCCTTAACAAAATGATCCGCCACCTTAGCGCATTGAAAGGGTGTTTTAACCCTATAAAATGACTGTATTTGGACAGCCTATCTACCACCACCAACACCGAGTCTATGCCTTCGGATAAAGGCAATCCCTCCACGAAATTCATAGATAAATCCTCCCAAATCCCCCTCGGAGGTCGAGAGGATGCCGTTGGGCTGCCTTGCTTCCTTGACATATTTCACACTTCCGCACGAACTCGCCCACATCTTTTCTCATCCCTTGCCAATACCAATCAGCGGCGATGCAAATGTAGGTTTTGACCTCACCGTCATGACCATCCGTGGGAGTGGCGTGGTATTCCTTCAACAGAGGAGGAATGAAAGTGGAATTTTTAGGCAACACAACTCTGCCTTTGTAAAGCAGCCTATTTCCTTGTGTAAAACCAACTGGCCCATCTCTATCTTCCAGGCTTTTCTTAATGTGGCCCAACCATTTATCAGCTTCTAATTCTTTCTCTAACTTAGCCTAATCCACCCAAGTGGTGCACAACAAGGTCGCAAATTGGGCCTTAGGAACTTCTTAGCCCATTTCTCCCCCTAATCTGGACAATGTATCCGCCACTCGATTTGAGGCCCCGGGTTTGTATTAAACCTCAAAGTTGAACCCCACAAGCTTTCGTAGCCATTTTTGGTAGTCACCCCCGACCTCTCTTTGTTGAGTGATGAACCGAAGGCTTTGTTGATCGGTTCTCACTACAAAATGACGGCCCATAAGATAATGCTTCCACCAAACTATGGCTAAACATATAGCCATTAATTCCTTCTCATAGATGGACTTCTCTTGGGCTCTAGCACCCAACATCTTATGGTAGTAGGCTATGGGCCGACCCACTTGCATGAGAACCGCCCTTAGATCATAGCTCGAAGCATTGGCTTCGACTACAGATTCTTGATTGAAATCCGGCATGGCTAGTACCGGAGCGGAGATCAAGGCCTCTTTTAGCTGCTGGAAGGCGTGAGTTGCCTCCTTGGTCCACCCATAACAATCTTTTTTAGTTGGGCCGTGAGTGGGCCTACTATCCAAGCATAACGAGCCACGAACTTTCGGTAATATCCCGTAAGCCCAAGGAAGCCCCGAAGTTCTCTCAAGTTTTTTGGGCAAGCCTAATCCATGACAGCTTGTACTTTCTCTTTATCCATGGACACTCCATGATAAGAGATCACATGGCCCAAGTAAGCAACTTGTTCTTGGCCAAATTCACATTTCTTAAGATTGGCATACAACTTGTTCATTGCCAATTTGTCAAACACTTCCTCTAAGTGTTTAGCATGCTCACATTTGTCCCTACTATACACCAAAATGTCGTCAAAAAATACTAAGACAAATTTGCGTAAGTATGGACAAAAAACATCATTCATCAATGATTGGAAAGTGGCTGGTGCATTCGTAAGACCGAATGGCATCAGGAGAAACTCGTAATGTCCTTCATGTGTACGAAAAGCGGTCTTCGGCACATCTTCGGGCTTAACTTGGATTTGATGGTAACTCGATTTTAAATCGAGTTTTGAGAAGATCCGAGCCCGGCGGAGCTCATCAAGAAGCTCGTCGATAACCGGAATAGGGTATTTATCCGGTACCGTCTTCTGTTTAGAGCTCGATAGTCGACACAAAAGCGCCAAGAACCATCTTTCTTCTTGACTAATAAGACCGGACTAGAAAAAGGACTAGTTGATGGTCTAATAATTCCGGCCTCGATCATTTCCCGTTTGAGCTTCTCGATCTCGTCTTTTTGAATTTGAGGGTAGCGGTATGGTCCGACGCTTACGGGGTTGCTACCTTCCTTGAGTGTAATTGCATGTTCATGTTCGTGTTGAGGAGGAAGCCCCATAGGCATGTTAAACACCTTATCGTATTTCTCAAGAAGGCTTTCAAGAAATTCTGGAATGGGCCTTGTGGTTTGGGCCTCCACTTCTCCTTCAATTTTGTTGATTTCAACTAAGAGCCCAACCTTTTCTTTACACAAGCTCCTCACCATGGCTTTCAACGAGACTTGTGATTTCTCAAGTGTGGGGTCACCAATCTAGGTAACCGGCACTCCAGCGATGGCGAACTTCATGACGTGAGTTTTCAAATTGGTGGCCACGGACCCCAATTTCTCCACCCCAAGGATCACCTCGGTATTTCCTAGAGGCAAAGGTAGGAAATCCTCGGTTATGGTCACTCCTCCGTCCAACTTGACCACCACCCTCTTGCATACCCTACGCCCTTTCACCGTTTCACCATTACCAAAAGCCACTCCAAACTCCCCATTCCCTTGCACTACTAGTGGTAGCACCGAGACTAACTCCGTCGATATGAAATTATGGGTTGCCCCCGGATCAATCATCACTACCACTCGCCGCCCTTTGACCTCGCCTCCCAACTTCATGGTTTTTGGGTTGGAAAGACCCGCCACCAAACATAAGGACACCTTGATGGCGGCTTCTTGGTTACTAGAGTCACATAACTCCTCCCCTTCATTCTCCATACCCTCATCCTTCTCCTTCTCTCCGGCCACCATGAGCGTGAGGTCCTTCCGTTTGCAACGGTGGCCCACCCCCCACCTCTCGTCACACCGGAAGCATAGACCCTTAGCTCTCCGATCTTGTAACTCCGATTCGGTCCACCGTCGAGCCGTTCCCGCAACTTTACTACTAGAAGCTTGAGTGGCTGCCAATATTCACGGACCCTTGTGAAGATTCAGGGGCCTTGGGCCAACCTTTTGGGCCCAAACCACTTGGCAACCCATATGTTTTAATTAGCCCACCCTCCATACCACTCTTTTCTCCCAGGCTACTTGAACGGGGGCTACTCATGTTCATTTGGTTCTTCCACACTCCTCCCCCTTCCTCATTTGATGACCCTATTTCGCTCCTCTACTCTCACCGCCATCTCCATCGTTTGGTCGAGGTTGTACGGATTTAACAACCTCATCTCTGCCTTGACATCATCCCTTAACCCGTTTATGAGCCGACCAACATCAGACTTTCCGGAATATTCTCCAACGGAAACGCCATCTCGATGAACCTCTTCCGATACTCCTCCACCGTGAGCCCTTGCTCATGGAGTGAGCCGACATTAGATGGCCGAAACTCATTCAACATCCTCTGCTTGAGATCCGGCCAATTAACGAACGACTGGCGTTTGTCCTCCCACTGGTACCATTTCAACGCCAGCCCGTCCATCGAGACTACCGCCGCTTCGAGCTTCTCTCTTTCCCGCAGCCTATAGAATTCAAAGTATCTTGGCTCTTACTAGCCACGTATCCGAGTCCTTCCCTTCGCACACCGGCAGATCCAGTTTCCAGTGTTGCCAGTGACCTCCCCAGCCTTCGCCATTGTCATTCCCATGGATAAAACCGTTTTGGTCAAACCCACGGTTATCGTCTTCTAGCACCGGAGTTCTGATTCGATTTCCTCTGTTCACGTGGCTTGCCGCCTCATCGTCATCGTCGTGCTAGTGCAACAGGGGGTTGCGCCGCTGCAGAGGGTCAACTCCTCCTTGCACCTTGCCTCGGTCAATTGCCGCCAGAGTGTTCGGCCCTCCAGCCGCGTCACGGTGGCAGCCAAGGCCTCCTCGTGCCTCTGCCGCTCAGCCTCAATGGCCTGGGTGACCGCACTTTCGGCAGCTGGTAATGCAACAGTTAATTATAATGGTTAAGAGAAGGAAGGCTTAATACTTGATTAATAATGGAAGAAGGATTACAAACTAATAGCTTTAGGCTATTACTCTCACAAAGTAGCTTGAGGCCACCACTCTCACCAATGTGTTTACACTTAATTTCTGGATGTCCTCCCACTAACACATACCATACTACTTATACTAAAATGGTGAAGGATGACCTTAAGGCTTAACATGTGATACTTAGCTAATTTAGAAAAGCGTAAATAAACAACAAAGAAACTAAGTTGCTTTCTTTCCTTCTCTTCTTCTTAATTAATTTTGTCTTCTTCTGAATTGGAGTTGTCTTGAGGCATAGGATTGTTCTCTGCTGCTGCTCTTGCTTGACCTTGCTGGACTTTCTTTCTTCTTGCATAGACTTGCATAGGTGGTTGACCCGAATTGAGGCTTGGACTATTTGGATCCATGACAATAAACTGTTGAGATGTTATCAATTACTCCCTTTGTTCTTCTTTTTAAGAATCAGGGGAGAATATGAAAGCACTATAAAATAGCAAAATTCTCCACGATGTAACAAAAAAGAAAGAAAAAAAAAAAAGAGATTCCGCTTAAAATATTGGTAAAGTAAAAATAGCATTAAAACATAAATAGTTATGCATTTTAGAATAAAACATAACTAATTGTGCATTACATACAATTTTAGATAGTGAAAAACATAAATACTTGATAAGAGGTAATTATTCACTTTTTTGCCGACTAGTGTGTGTTTGTATCATTGTGCTATTTGTGTTAGCGATCATGTCTTTTTGTTATGGACCTTATGGTGGCCTTGTAATGATCCATTTGATTAAAGTTGACTGATTGAGTTTTCATACGTGTTCTTGTTACTTGTTTCTTCATGATGCATTCACGAATCTTTTTTATAGATCAATGCTAGCTTCGGTATTGTTGTTTCATTATTGTCCTTCATTAACTTTTTTGTTAAAAAAAGAGGAAATATCAATGGCTTGATTGCATGAAAATCTACATGAACTATGATTTATGTGTTATGGTGGTGCTTTACGCTCAATTTTTAATGTCTCGATTGCATGTTGTCGTGCTTTTATGTCATCAGGATGGTTGCATGTGTTTGTTTGACTTGAGATGCAAAGATGTTCAACGAGTTATGAAGCTAGGCAATGATGCTATTTCGTCGTTGTGTTTCAAAGAAGGTGTGTTATCCTTACCTTATCTATATTTAATCTCTTATAATAGAATTGTTCTACATAAGCTTCCTTTAACGGTCTTGACCTACAACTACATACTCTCATGTACTCAACAAAGGAAATCAATAATTATTGTGACATATATAGGTCTTTTTTTTCACAAACTCTCTCCTCCTCTTAATTTGCTAGCTCATACTAATTTTACACATACTTCTTTTGCCGAATTAGTTTATTTTTTTTTTTATTAAAACCAAACTAAAAAATTCTTTTTTCAATGTAAAATGTATGTTCATAAGTGTTTAATTTTTTAAATTTATTTTTACTATAAACATTAGTAATTATTCTATGATACCATGGTTCATCTCTATCAATTGTCCTAAACTTTAGTTTAATGATGGAGATGCTATGTTACGTAGACTTCGGTATTAATGAAAATCTCTAGTATTGTACTTGCTTACATCTCCACAAATAAGGAAACACGTAGGCATTTTCATTGATGTTTATGTTCCATGATTATTAGGATTATTGCCCTCAAGTTAGGCTTAAAGGGGCATTTGAGGTATAGATTTATTGTCTCATGTGCACCTTAATGCTAGCTAGCCACTTGATATTACTGTTAAATGAAATAAGGCTTTCTTTGGGGAGTGTTTTTGATGTGCTATAGAATAGTTAGCATCATTGTTGTGCCAATGCATATATTTTGAATAGTGGTGACTTTTTGGTAAGGTCTCATTTGCGATATAAAGATTGGATTAGACATAAAAGGGTTTAGACCTTTAAATATCTTTTGGACAAGGCCACTAGAGAGTTTTTCCGTATAAGGCTAATATGCTAATATTTTATTGATTTCCTTTTTCCGTTGATAATCCCTTGTCAATCATCATAAGCTGTGTAATGATAGAGTGCCAGTTGTTGCTTTGCTTTGGATGATGAGGTTTAGCCAATCATTATATATTGTTTTATAGTATCTCCAACGTAATAGATTTAATTAAGCCTATTTTTATATTATGGGGCTTTCCCATTAAAGATACGTATCATTGGTGAATTCTCTGTAATTATTTATTCATCTCTTAGAAATATGTGAGTTGACATTAATTAGACGATGGTGCTTCTTATTACGAGAAGTATGGTGAAAGACAATATTGCCTCTTTATTATCAGTATTGATTTGTTAAAAAGGCTTCGTATATTATATGAATAGGGTGACTTGTCAGTTGAATTTAGTCATGAGCTATGCCACATGAGTCACAAATGGAGGGAATGTAAACAATGTCCATGCTATATTTGCTCTTTAAAAAGGATTTTTATTACGTGAAATCTAAATTAATTTCAATCTAACTGTCTTTTTACAATCTTAATAGAGTTTTAGGACCTTCGATAGGATAATCTTGTTAATTGATGGATTTTACTAAAATAAAGGTTTCTCCTAGACAAATCGCTTTGCAATTAAGCTCGTATCTTTTTAAACATTTCAACAGTTTTCTTTTTACCATTTCATTTATTAACCAACAATTTGAAGTATTCTTAGTGAGAGGAGAGGAAAGTGTGGAGAGACTTATAGAAATAGAGACTAAGAGAGAGAATATCTAAAGTCAGAAAAACTAACAGGTATGTGGAAATTTCTTACAACACTCTTTGGTCGGCAACAACTAGGCAATCATTGTGTTAGTCAGCCTTTTCTTGAGGTGGTTTCCCTTTAGGGCATGTTAATCCTTAATAACTTTTTCTTAGTTGCTCCAAAAATCCTTAAGCCACCTTTCTTGATCCGCTCTCTCTCAAGTGGTGTTGCCTTGTCCCTGTATTGTTTGGCTGTGCTCGGTCTTCTTGTGAGCACTCAACTTGTTTGGTGTCGTTTATCTTTTGTAGCCCAGCTTAATATTTTAGGGGGCCTTGTTCTCCTTAAAAATATTAGGGACATCTTAAACGTTTAAGGGCCTTTTGTTACATATAAGATCTAAAGTCCCTAAAAATGCGCACAATTTTGGTGTAAGGAAATATTATTCGCCCATTTTTTAGTAGTTTTACTGTATTGACTTTAAAATTTTTCACATGATCACCTTTGACCATCTGTAAGTAATTCGTATCGCTTGGATTCCTTGGTTAGTGCAAAAAAAATGTGAAATTAGACAATATTTTCATGCTGTTTATCCCTCCTCTTTATGAATACAATAAAATTTTGGCTTAAAGAATGATACAGAGAAGAAGGGAACTATAACCCAGGAAGGCTTAAATATTGAATATGAAGTGATGTGGCCTAATTGAAAAGCCTTTAGTTCAAAGCTAATCATCAGTGGACAAGTTTATCCTATAAAAAGCTCTTAACTTCCAATAAAAAGTGAAAGAGACTATAAAGGGGAATTAATTTGCATTTCATATCATTAATACTACTAAAGGAAAATGTTTTTTTATGCTTAATTCTACTCATTAATGTCAACTCAACAACCCAAGCAAGAAATGGTAGCCAATCTACCAATGAATGAGCACTCACCAATATACAACTTTTAATTAGGCTGAGCCCCACAGAGATAGAATTGATATAATTGTGGCCATTAAAATAGAGAGGTATTAAGCAATAACTTAATCATCCAAGGGCAAAGCTTATTTACTAGAGGATTAAATGAGAATGGATTTAAGTGACATTCTCCCATTAATCATCAGTGTTGTTTACTTGAGAAGAAGCAAATAAGTTTTGTTTACTTGAGAAGAAGCAAATAATTGCTAATGATCCCTTATGTTTTCTCTCAATGATGTAGGGAATGAAAATATGATATACATTTCTTCTGGGACAGACATCAGTTGCTTTGATGTTCAAATGGTATAAATCATGGGGTGTGTTTCAGTGTTTTTGGCTAGAACCTATTTGTATTCTTTTGTCTTTGTACTCCATATAACGTGGTTGGCCTTGATCTTTTAGGCTACTTTTGAGAAGCCCATGGAGAGGTACAAATATAACAAAGAGGAAATTAACCAGGTATTCTAGTGTCTTGTGAAAACTTTATTACATTGGAGGGCTTGCACTATAATTACTACGTAATTATTTGGTGCATTGGTTTTGGTGCATAATTGTTTTATTGGCTTGAAAACAAGCTATTGATGATGTATTATGTATGATTGACAACAATGTTGCTAGGGGGATTTTGCTTGTGAGTTTTATAATGAATGCCTGTTTTTCTTAGTCATTTCTTTGAATTTAGGCTTGATTTTGGTGAGTATGACTTCCCTAAAAAAAAAAATTGATGACAACCAGTCTTGAATTTTTTCTTGCTGTCGCAAATTATTGCATTATACAAGATCTATTCTTGGCAACATAACAACTCAGTTCTGTTTATGTACAGATATCATGTAACTCGAAGTCATCTTTTCTTGCTGCTGCAGATGATAGCGGTGATGTTAAGGTACTTACTATTCACATTATATTTGATGAAGATTGCAGTTCTGGCATTGGCTGAAGAATGTTTCTCTGTGTATTATTCGACCCTTGATTGGTTTCTCTTTCTTTATTTTATATAACCCATCTCTTTGTTCATCTTTTATACATGAGACTGCCTTAGATTATACTGGATGGAGCCAAAAGAATCCATTTAGGTCATTTTATTATTTTGTATGGATTTTATGTGATAATGATATCTGCACTACCTTATGTTATCACATGGGTTTATTTGCTGATCGCTTTGATTTGCTCATGGGCGATACTCATATACCCATGTCTGACACAGGTATGTATACAAGTGTCCAACTCGTCTATTTTGTGGAAACATTTTGTGTTTTTGAAATGAAGGGTCGAAATGTCCTATCCTCTCTGAGTGCTGAGGATTTAACACAGGTAGAATGAAGAGTCCAAGTAACATTGTCATGATTGTTGATGGATTGGTCACTTCCTATCCAAATATTCATTTGGCAATTGGAGTGCTAAAAGTATTTGTACTATTGGGAGTATGTTTGCTTAATTGAGGCCATGGACTGAAGATTTCAAACCAATTGCTGCAGTGCTGGAAGTTTATGATAACTTTCATGAAAGACATGAGTAACACTAGGAAATGGCTAGAAAAAGAATTTTGCATGATCATAGGACAGAAAGTAATGTTAATTGGCATTATTTATAACTATTTATGCCATAATTCTTAAAGTTGATTCACTTGATTACCATGCCCATCTAACAATCTAAATATTAATAAATGTGATTTTATTTGCTCAATGCTGGTATAATTTCAAGTATTTATGTAGCTTCAAGTCACCTTGTACATTCAGGAAGCCACAATTCTTGTATTTTATTTGTCTCTGCCTATGTTATTCAGATTCTGACTATACTAACTTTGGCAGATAATTGATATCCAACGGCAATGCCCTTTCAAAACATTGAGATCTGGTCATGATACTGTATCCTTCCACTTTTATCTTGGAAACTTTGGGTTCCTTAGTCGTATGCTTTTTATTAGGTGTTTATGAGCATTCAGCTAAATGTTACCCTTTGTCTTGTTGAAGAATTTGGGTTGATATTTATATAATCATTTTAATTGCACTATTTTGATCCTTTTGACCATCTTTTGTAATTAATTCATAACAAAATCTATATTTATGTGGGTTCTTGTTAGATTCATTTTCATATATACTTTCAAAATATCAAATTTTTGTACTTCCTTCGTTTTGTTTTGATGTTCTTGTTTTATTGTTGACCATTAATATCCCTAATTACACATCGTTAAAAATTGATATTCTTAAAGCACTTATTGAGACGTATCAAAAAAGATCGCACATGACTGATTTTTCTCATATGCTGATAATAATTTAGAAGATTTCCTCAAATTACGAATAGTTGCAAATTTCTAAATCGGAACATCAAAAAGAAATGGTGGGATTAACTTTACTAAAGGATAATTAAAGATATCATGACCAAAGTTGTGCATTGGCAAGTGATTATTGACAAACGGTGCAATTAAAAAATATGGAGGAAGTATCTTTGACAAATTGATGCTCCTTGTACATAGCTTGAGTTTCTATTCCGGTATAATTTTGATGCCTCTCTTCACTTGCATTGCAAATATTAGTGGTACTATGTGTAGTGCTGTGAATTTCTGTGACCTTGACCCTGCATGTCTAGATATGTAGCAGTGTACAGTTTGTTCCTTGGAAGCCTGGGGAAGGTACATGCTGATTATGTCACAATTGTAGATATGTAATTGGTGATGAAGTGGCTAAGAAACACCCAATTTCATTATCAGATATAAAGCTATGATTTTTGTTATAGTTATTGAGAAATGAAAATGTATACACATACCAAGGCTGCTTTTATTATGTTAATTCATGGTCCTAGATTCTCCCTCTAGTTAGGTAAAGTAAAATAATGAGAATGTTGCTAGTCCTTAGGCAGTTAGGCCTATATAATATCAACTATCAGATCTTTCTGTGACAATGTTAACAGGTATTTTTGTCCTGATTATTGGGTGCTTAGGAAACTAATCTATGATATTCTAAAAAGAGATAAGTTGCTTTCTGAAATGGAGTGGCAGAAGATAAGTATCAGCAATGAACCAAGCCATTTGGTGACACAAACATTGGCTATTCAAGTCAAAAGTTAAAATACATGTTATGGAGGTTAAGCATTTCCCGTAGATCGTGTACATGGATAGATGAGAGAGAGAGAGAGAGAGAGAGAGAGAGATAGAGAGAGAGAGATAGAGAGAAAGAGAGGGGGGGGGGGGGTTACAGGTCTCAGGATTTTTGTGTCTTGTGGGATGTGATCAGGTTTGTAAAGGTCTCAGGTTTTGTTTGTAGCCATTGTAGGCCTTAGGAGGGTGATTATGGTCTCAGATATTTGTTGTCTTGTTGGATGGGATTATGTTTTAAGGCTTAGGGATGAGGGTGATCTAGGTCTGTGGATTTGTGTCCATCAGTCCACGAACATTTTATTCGTAAGCAAATGGTTAAATCATTTTTCTCATGGACTTGGATTCTGTTAGTGCTGAATCATTGGATTTAAGGACTTTAGAGGAATGGGTGAGATGCACTTGCAGGAACCCATGGCTTTTGCTCCAGCCCTCGAAGTTATCTCATAGGTATACTTGTTTTCCTTTCCTTAATCAACTTGGGATTCATGAAATTTTTTTTGAGAGAAACCTTCGGCTGGGGAGTTGTCGCTTCTTACCTTTTGTCTTATCACTTTCTCTTCTTTATCATTTCTGATATATTGTAAAGCAAAGGTATGGTGGTTTTATGAAGTTTGTGTTGTCAGCATAATTCTGGACTTGGAAGTCAGGTGAGCAGTAAGCTGCTGAGCTAACAATCAGATTGAAGAAATTGGTTTCCTTGCTCATGAAGTCTTTTTTTCCTTTTTCACCATGTCTTCTATTTTATTTATATGATGCAATCCTTCAAGCTGGAATGTTAATCTACCTGTGTATTAGTGAGTCAAAATTCTTAATTATAGTTTTGTATAAATAATTTCATAGTACCATGGGTGAGTAGGAGCCCTTTGAAGATGGAGGTTACAGAAATGCGCATGTTAAGATGGATGTGCGGGATCACTCTAAGAGATAGAATGAAAAATTTAGTTATTCGCAAGAAAGTGGGTATTGCAAGCATTGCAGACAAACTAACGGAATTGGGTTTGGGCATGTAAGACGGAGACCCCAGGGTGCACCGGTACGAAGAGTGGGATCATGGAGAGGTTAAACGAAGTAGAGGGAGACCGAAAATGACTTGGTTGGAAGGAGTTAGGAAGGATATGAAGCATATGGATTTGCATGAGATTGTAAGGGATGGAGGAGGAAGATTTTTGTGGATGACTATACGGAATAATCACTTTTGGTTCATGTAGCTGACTCCACTTATGGGATTAAGGCTTTGATTGGTTGATTGATTGATGTTCCTTGTTATGCAAGTTGCCAATCAGCCCTTTTTTTGTATGACAATATCATCCTCTAGTGTCAAATGTTTTGATAATTATTCTGTTCTCTTAGTCATTGAAAGACAATAGCATTTTTTTTATTGCTTCTTGTTTATTGCGGACATCTTCCTACTTAACATTTTGGTAATTTTCTTACTTGCTGCTTGGCAGTTATTACTGGAGGTCTTGATTCTAAGATGATCATGTGGGATTTTTCCAAGGGGCGACCATTCCTTGTTGTGGATTTTGGTACTATTTCTCTTAGCATGATTTTATATTACTTATTTTTAAAATTTACCTTTGGTTCAATGGCTGCAAACCGCATTTTTAATATATGATTGTTAATTCTCTGTTTGTTCAAGTATGGATAATGAACATTGTTCGTGCTTGAGTAGGCTTTTAGATTTTTTGTTCAAGCATGGCACGTTAAGCTTTTGGCTTGCTCATTTGCACTTTGAGCTCAAATGAAGCTAGCATTCTAATGAAGGTACCCCCACCATTTCTAAAATATGTTCTTGTTTAGTATATCTCGGTAAAAGAGCCAAAAGTTTGTTGAGTATTCACCGATATATAAGAAAAACATGCCAATGTGGGATTTTGCTAGATTCATCCCAATGTGGCATCTCAAAATATTTACTTTTCGTAATTTTGATACTCAAATATATGCATTGGAAATTTTGAAAAATAAAAGAAGGAGCATCTGTTTCTCTGGACATAAACATACTTACAAATGAACTTTATATGAGTTGAACATGAACAATATCGAGTCAAACATGGATTGTTCCATTTTTACTCATTTATTAAACAAGCTTATGGTTTTTATTCAACCTTGTTTATTTACTTATATGAATGAATAGGGTTTGAATGAATTTGTTGGCAAGAGTTCACGAATATATAGTATCTTTTGGAGCTTTGTTAGGGGGTAACCTCAATCATTCTTTGTCTAAACCCTGTACATATGTAATTTTTCTTATTCGCTCATTTTCCATTTATTCTTAATTTATAGAAAGATGTTTCTCATTCAATTTCCTCTGACGAATGGATTTCAAGATGATTGAGTTGTACAACGCCATATCGACCCTCTAATAGCGGGGCTTATGTATTTTGGGTTTGAACTTTTTTCAAAATGTTTCGGCCAAATTTTGTTGCTGTGCTCTCATTCTTCTGATGATTGCTATGACATGTGAACTCAACATTTATAGCAAGAATTTTAATGTGATTCCATCTTGGTTCAATTCAGGATTGTGTGATTACATTGTTGTTGTGTAGTTTAGTAGTCATTATGTCAGTGTTTTCCATTAATATAAATGTTAATTATTAATCAACACATAATTAAGTTTCTTGATCAGGTAATTAAAGTAAATTTTTGTGGTTACCCTTCTAATCCTAGCAATTTTTTTATTTATGTTATTTTATTTATTTCTTTATTTTTTACTGTTTTACTTTGTCCATTTGCGTTTTAAAATTTGATACTGAGACCTTTTGTTAATTAACTTAAATTTTCCATCTATTTCTCCCCTATCCCTCTCTCTTCCCACTTTATCTATCATGTAATCATTCCTTTCATCATAGAAGCTCCATGTACCCATTTTTTGAATTTTTGCATATGTCCTCCCATTCTTAGCCTCTGCAAAACCGAAACAGGAGCTTGTCTCAGCTCCCATCATCTAAGCCAGCAATGAAATCTCCAACTTGACTATAATGGAAGAGAAGAGGGAAATTGTGGCTGCCGTAGTGTTAAATGGGAATATCATAGTGTAAAGTTTTGGGAAGATCATGGTGTGAAATTTACCCTCTGTTCTTACACCCAGTGACTAATTTACTCTCTATGTATGTATATCAGGATAAAGAAAAGACTACAAAATTAACTTTATTAGATCTGGTCCCAATTTCATTCCTATTGCAAATTATATGGACTGAAGGTCTCTACCTCTGAACTTGTGTGGCCTGGTGAGTGGTGACTTTATTAGTGAACTACACGATGAGCTGAGTTATATGGGGCATGGTGGCGATGCTGATTATCATATTGGTGGTCTGATGTAATTAGGGGCTGACCTGTGTGATGTTTATGTAACAAAAGTGATGTTTTGGCTTTCTGAGAATGCAGGTGGTATTGCAGGACACTTAAAAGGTGTTCATCATATTGATTTATGCATTGTTTGAGCGAAGTAATATTATTACAGGACATTTTAGTCATTTAATAGGGCTTTTAATCATGCCACTAAAACGCCACTAGTTAGTTACCTTTGTGTTATGCAGGTTAATGCTGATGTCATGCCTGCTGGCTTTGCTTTTGTAATTTACAAATGCCCTCGTGATCACTATTTCAAAACTGAATCGTTTAGATGGTCAAACTGACGAGCTCTCAGCTGGCAGTCTATCCCTAATATGCATGTATTTCTGTAGCAAACCAGCCTTTAAAATCCTTATATTCTGTTGTAGAAATTTTGTTTAGTTAGGCTGGTTCTCATGGTTGGAATTTGGAATGGCTTCTATCTGTCGGTCTGTCCTTATGCCTGCTTAAACACATAAGATGATGATGCTGTCGTTTGTACCAGGGAATCTGGAGGAAAGCGCTAAAAACACCGGACAGTTTTACAACCCAGCTTTTATCCATGCTATAGCTGTTCCTGAAATGGATATGTTGGATAAGTTAGGAAAGGCATGTGCTGTTGCAAGAGGAGATGGAATCGTCAGCTTGATCAATATAGAAGCAGAACTTGCTGCTGTTAAGTCAAAAGGGTTTTCCAAAAATGATAAATGTCCCCAAGGCAGGTCAAGTAATGCTGCTGCAGTCTCAGATGTTGTAACAAACAAACAAAATGAAATTAAAAGGTTGCATTTGGATTATACACTTGGAGGCCATTCTGCGGCTGCTTCTTGTGTGTAAGTAGTTTATCTTTATCTTGCAAATGTACCATGCTTTTAGGATGCAACAATCGCTCCCTAGTATAATCCCACTAACGTTAGGGTTCAGGGAGATCCAAATGATGGAGCCTCTTTGAGTTAATAAGTGGTAATAAAATCCTTTAGGTTGGTGACTTTTATTTAACTTGACATTTCAGGACATTTTCAACATTTGGAGAGAGAGGGAAGTTCATAATATCTGGAGGAAATGATAAATCAGTGAAGGTCTGGGATTGGTCTCGGTATCTTGATGATGCTCAAGCAAGTGCTGACTCAACTTCTGTATTTAGCATTGATTTGCCAAAAAAAGTACTGCATCTTCCTTTTTGTGGTTATTTTCTGGTCGAATTAACATATATCATATTAAGGAGAATAGCTCAACAAGGCTAAGAGATACGGAAAAAAATTATATTGTTCTGTATGACCTTTCCTTCGTCAGATTTTTAAAGGTTGCTGCTCTTGGCAGGTTAACTGGCTGTGCACTACCCCTACTGATTCAGACAACCTTGTTGTCTGTGATACATCCAAAGTGGTAAAGGTTTATACTCTTGCTTAAGTTTAGCAGATAAAATCGTTGACAGTGGAGCCTAGAACAGAATTCAGTTGAACCATTCCGGCAACATGCCAACAATGTTCTTAAAAGTTTTCCCTGCTTGAGTTTGAGGATGTCAATAAATCACCAAGCTCGTAGCTATTGTTGGAGCAAAGATTTGAATGTAGCCGTGTAGCTGGGTTGAGATATGACATCAAAATTGCTGTTCATTGAATGGATATTTTGCTAGGGGCCATTGTATTTGTGGATTTTGGAGATTGTAAAACAATCATTTCAGGAGCTATATTGCATGTAAATTTTGAGTCTAGGCTCTGATAGGTTACTAGTTTAAGTTGGTTTTGGGCTTGAATGAGCTACTTGTGTAAACTAAAATATAGAATAAGATTTAATATCAACTTTGATATGATTTGTCTACTGGGATATTATTTTTTTTTTTTTTTATTTTTTTTTTTACTCTCTGTTGTGAAGGCATTGTAGTGGCCAAGGGACAAATGGACAACATCGCATAGTTTGGTAGAATTGTTGAAAAAAATTACAGTACTTGAAACAAAGATCTATTATACGTAGTATAAGCCAAGGGGGGAGGGAGAGAAAAAAAATTAGTGTCCAACCTTTGAACTTCCTAAACTGCCCTTTAAAGTTAAATAATTTTAATGGAGTAAATATAAAAATATGGTACTAATATTTGCTAAAAAGTTGCAAACAAGGTACTCAAGTTTCAAAAGTTGCAAATAAGGTACTCAAACCCTGGTTGGAGGTCAGAAATCCGGTGGTGACCTATACCAACTGGTTAACTCATTTAAAGCTTAAAAAAAAAAAAAAAAAAAAAATTGCTTAGGTGTTGCCTCGAAGAAGAAAAAGCTATCATTTCCTTCAAACATTGGCGCCATCATTATTCATTACCCAAGCTTTCATCTAAACCTATGCCGCCACGACCCCTGCCATTATTACTCATTAGCCATCGCTACGACGCTATCCAACCTTGGTCGACGCCTTCCTTCTCGCCACAAAGCTTTTGTCGTCGGCTTTTAAACTCAGTAACACCAGGTATAAATTGTTAACCCAAACCCAAATCCAAAAACATCACCTCTGACCAGTGAAAACACTACCAATAATGCAGCTCAATTCCCATTTTGCTCACCTTAATCAACAATGACATTTTCATTAAAATTTAGGGATTTCACTTTCCCCACTCAATTTGTCCTCTATTCTTAAATAAAACCACCGCTAAGATGAAAACGCCCTACCACTGCTGAGAATGACGACTTTGCGAGATTATGAGTTGTCGGATTGGAGAGGGCTTTAGAGGGGAAGTGGGAGAAGTTGACGATGAGGGGGTGACGGTGGAATTGGTGGTGCTCTGGTGTTTGTTTTTGAGTGAAGAACAAGATGCAAGTACAGAGAGTCAAAGTATGGTGGAAATGATTAACCTGTAAAGAGAGGAGAGAGAAGGTGAATTAGAAAAGTTGTGAGGTTATAATTGTTACCAAATACTAGTACCCTCTGTTATTATGTCAGCAATTTAATTTTCCTTTTTTTTTTTTTTTTTTTTTTTTTTTTTTGCAAATAGTAATCTATTGTAGTAGGTGAATTTTGGGTTGAATACTTAATTTTTGAAACTTGAGTACCTTAACTGCAACTTACGGCAAACATTAGTACCTTACTTTTTAGTTTACTCAATTTTAATGTAATATTCCAATTAAAGATTTTTTTTTTAAAGAACGAATGGTAGCGATATCTTACAACTTTGGCGGAACTTGATATTGCTTAATTTCAATTAAAGAAGTCAAGCTATAATAGGAAAATTCACAGATTGGATTAGATTTTGATTTGATTTATTGAATGTAATTTTAATAAGAACAAAGATGCATTCAAATTCACATAATATAAAGATGGCCCACTAATTCGAGTCTTAAATACTACGAGTAAATAAGTAAAGATAGGTTTATTATTAGGAAAATTTATTTCTAATAATCCAACCTTTAAGCGGTCTTATTTTATTAATCCAACCTTTCTATTATTACACAATAATCTAAATTTTGGGGTATTCTATTTTATTAGGCCAAGCAGGTCACTTATCCTATAATAACAAGTCACCTGCCTTTCATTTGTCTAAAAAATATTTTTGAGTTAAAAAAAATTAAAATTTAAAATAAAAAAAAAAAACTGTTTTTCCTTTTTTTTTTTCCCCTTCCTCTTCATCTTCTTCCTCCCTTCCACACCTCCATGAATGTCTCCCACTTCCGGCCAGACCTCCGCCCACCACACCTCCACCTCCGGCAGCGAGGAACCCCACCCCACCAGCCACCACCCCAGTCGAAACCTAGAAACCCCTCGAACCCAGAAAACCCCACCCACCATCAAGCGAAACCAGATCAAAAACCCATCCATCCTCCCCCAAAACCTTGCTCAAAACCATCGAAAACCTCTACCCCATCGCCGATTTTTGGGTTTCGGGGTGTTTGGAGTGGTTTTCGTAGCGAATCTTGTAGGTGTCGGCACGAATTTTGCCCAAAACCATCGAAAACCCGACCCTCTTCCCTCTTTGTCTCTCTGTTTTAATTTCCATCAATTTGCGCGAAATCTTCGATCTTCAAAACCCTAGAATTAACTCCCAATTTCATTAGGGTTTTGCAAGATCAAGAATGGAACTTCCTCAATAACTCAATGATTTCATCAAAAATTCAATCGATCATACTATTGAACTTGTTTTGGAATTCTGGGTTTTGATTTGTACTCGATGGGTTTTGATTTAAAATTCTGGGTTTTGATTTGGATTTCGGGTTTTTGTAGGGTTGGGGGGAGGCTAGCCGGAACGGCTGAAAGAGTGGGGAAGAGGGAGAGGTTGGCCGGAAAAGGAAGGTCAAGGGGAGGGGTTGCCGGGCTGGGATTCAGGTTGCCGGAATCAATGGGGTTGGGTAGGGTTGATATTCAATTTTATTTTAATTCATTTTCAACTTTTCTAACTTAAAAAAAAAAAAAAAAAAAAACTTGAAGAAGCGGTAGCAAGTCACCTTGGCCTAATAGAATATAACACCCTTAAAACTGAATTATTGTGAAATAATCAAAAAGTCGAATTAATAAAAAAAAAACCGATTAAAGGTTAGATTAATAGAATTTTATTTTTTAAAAAAAAAAAATAGAATCAAATTTTCGTTATTATTATTAGGATTAGATTATTGGACAGACTATGGTAATTTGGTATTGTGTAACTTTAGGAAAGTTATACATGGTAAAATTTTATTTTAGGAAAGTTATACATGATAAAGTTTTAATTGGTATGACTGTATGAGTTAACTTTTTATAGCCTATTATTCTATAAATATAGGCTTAGAGTATAGGGAATAGGTAATTACTTCATTACTCAAAAGTTACAAGTATAACACATTGTTAGTGATGAGCCATGTTGACGTTGTAATAGATGTTTTCACAATCGATTATCCTATGACCTGCAAGAGTTTCTTAAAACTTGCCAAGTAAGTTTTTTTTTTTATTTGTTTATTTCGGTTTTTTTTTTTTTTTTTTTTTTTTTTTTTTTTGTATAGTTTAATCGCATAATGATAGATATTGGATTTTTTTTTTTGTGAATATAGGAATTACATTCTAATGACAATGGGACGTGACTATGACATGTTTCATACCTTTGTAGTAATTTTATTTTCTTCGTCTGTAACCTAATTTCTTTGTTTTTGCTGCTGTTTGGTTTTATTTTGTAATCTCATATGAATCAAAAGAAAATAAAATAAAAAAATAAAATAAAAAAAACGATTAAAGGTATTAACAACATGTATTCCAATTGTTATTGCATGATGCCAATTTTTCATTAAAATTGGTGGCATCCTGTAATAACAATTTATTTTTTGTTCATCTTCACGTAATTCATTAATTTTTAATTTTAAAATAATTTGTTTCATATTAATTGAACCCACTAATAAAAAAATGTTAGCTTTGCTAGTATGTTGCTTCAAAATTGTGAATTGAATTCTCAATTGATACCAATCGATGTAGCGTCAATTCAAACCAAACTCGAGGATAGGTTACCAAGAATAACGAACTATCAAAAACATTTGAATATATATTTATATATTATTCGTAGAATGAAAAGGGAAAGGATTAATAACGTGCATTTATTTTGCTAAGAGGTATATTACAAATACAATATCGATATTGATAGTGATAAACAAGTAAGTTTTTTTTTATATTTGTATACAAGAATTTCTTATCTAAATAAAATGAATCTGATTATTAGATATGTATTGATCATCTCTAAGGCTTTTAGTTTAATATTTTTTTTGTTTAATTTTTCTAAAGATTTTTTTTTGATTAATAATTTTTATAAAGATTAGTGTGATATTTACATTTTTGAATATTTTTTTTTGACAATTTGAATTTTTTTTTTTTAAAAAAAACTTTTGACGGATTGTTTCGCTATGTTATTTGATTGTGTTTTTTTAATTGGTGCTTTATTTAAGCATATTGTCAATTTGGCTCAATTACAGTCGTCATAAAATAAATTTGTACTAAAAAACTCTTTACAAAAAGTCAAAAACTCTTTACAAAAAGTAAACCTCTCCTCCTCTTTTCCTCTCTTTTAGGGTTTTTCCTTTCTTGGCCTTTTAGGTTGGAAATAGTCTAATTCCGAAATTAGACTATTTTCAACCCTTTTCCCCTTATTTTTCTATAGTTTTGCAATTTCAATTTCAATAAATCTACACGAGTGGTAGTGTCTTCCTATGGTGGAGTGTCTCCCTATGGTGAAGTCGTTAGTTTTTGTTAGTTTAGTTGTTTGCTTTTGTTTAGGGTTTTTTTATGTGTTAGGGTATGGTTCAATTTTTGCTCTATTATCAGTTGGTTGGTAAAAAGTTAACCGGGATCGCAACATTTGTCAAATCTTCAGATACGTTCAAGTGAATCAGGTGAAATCATCCTTATGACTACAACAAATTGTGAGACCGTCTCTTCGAAAAAACTGAATATTCCAGCGATGTCTGCGAGAGATGTACCACAGTGCATGATCTATTCAATGATCGTAGTTATGATGAAGGAAAGCTAATTTAATTCAATTTTATGTATTTGTTGATTTAGATTTCATTTAAAATATCGTATGCCTTTTGATTAATGAATTATTTCATTTAAAATTGTACTCCTTATTTTTATGAACATTAAGTTGTCAACACCTACCTTCACTTATATGATAGTGTTAAACACAATTAGTTAAAATTATACCGTTAGAGATTGTTACAAATGTCAAGATAAGAGGGTTTATTTTTTTTATTTTTATTTTTATTTTTTTATATATATATATATTTTTTTTTATTTTGCCATTTGTACTATTAATTGTCATGATTTTTTTTTTCTAATTCAAAGCTAAGTGTTTTTTAATCTCTCAACTAATATATGGCCCACACGTTGCACTGAGTTGCTACTTTTAATAACATCTTGTGATTTGTACATAATATTTATGTTGTCTTTTATTCTTTTTTAATTAGTCTTTGTGATTTATAATTATATACATTTATTTTCATACTTATAACATGATTGATAATTGGCTTATTTGATTAAATAAACATCTTTCTTATAAGAGGTTGGGTGTTCGACGTACAACGAACGTATAGGTTGGAAGTTTAATCCCCACTAGTGACAATTTGGGGATGAGATTCTCTTACCTTCCCCACTCTCCCAAATTGTTAAGTCCGCTAACCAAGGCTGTCTATCATATGATTTATGAAAAAATTATATTCCGTGACTATTAACATGGTTCAAAACATGGCTCTCTACTCTCTTAAGCTCCAACCCAAGTAAACATTATAGGTAAAGGTAAGTTTATTATCTCGTCAAAAAAAAAAAGAAAAATGGAAAATTCTCTTTGCTACTCTATTGTTTTTTTTATTTTTCTCTTTGGTGAAAGGCAAAAAAAACTTAATTATCTTTGGTAGCTAGTTATTAAAAGATATTAATCATAACATTAATGATATATTTTTATTAGAGCATCTCCAATGGTGTTTTTTAAGGATCTGCTTGCAAATAGGAAAAATAATAAAAATGTTGCTTAACCATTGGAGCACTATTGATATACTTGCTCTCTTGAGCAGTGCTGCTGAGTTAAGCCTTGAAAATTTTATAAATTATTTTAAAAAACTTGGAGAGCGGGGGCACGATTGGTTTTCCATGAAACGTGATATGCAATTGCTATAAAAGATAGTGCAACATCATTTTTTTATCTTTTTCTTAAAAAATAAATTTTAAATATTATTTTCATCATTATCAACTGACATATAGATAGGTGATGATGACTAAACTTAATCCTAGCATTTAGCTAGGTAGACCTTAATCCTAGCATTTACTCCTATAGTTTACAAGGTTATAGGTTTTACACATTCATTCGTACGGTATGTTTCATTTATCATTGAATTTTTTTTTGACAATTTTTAAATTTAAAATTTTTTATTACTTTATATAATAACAAACTTGACTTTGTCAATATGGTAACCATATCTAGCTTTGAATTATTAGCTTGTGTAGTAAATAAAATATTACATACAAGGTATAAAATTTTATAACCAACCATTGAATTATTTTATAGCTTGAAATATTGATGTGGCAAATTAAGCTACAACTTCTTTTAGCTTATCATTGAAGTACTTTATAGCTTGAAAAGGTTGTAGCTTTAAAAGTTGACATGGCAAAACAAACCCTTTTTTTAATAACTAAATTATTTTAAGTATAATATTTTAAAAATAAAAAACCACCACCCCTTTCCCCACCAACCCAGCCACCCCACTGCCCTCCACGCCCAGCCCGACCCCCCTGCCTCCCCGGCGACGGTCGCACCCAGAACTCCGATCCCTCTCCGGCGCCGGCGACGCTTCGAATACCCTCCCCTTATCGCGTCCCGCTTTACTCTTCCACCGATACTTCCTAAAATCATCCTTTAGGATGTTCAATCAGTCTTCTTCAATTTCAATTAGATCTTATGAGTTTGATTTTGTTTAAAATTTACAATTTTCTGGGATTTAAACAAATTCGTGAATTTTCTGGGTTTTAAATGAATTTACTGGATTTTATACAAAATTGTAATTTCGTTTCGATCCCCAGTAAACTCACAAATCTTCTGGGTTTTAAACGACACCACCTCTGTCAAACACCGCCGTTTGGATTTTCGAAAGTGGCGGGATGTTTTAGGGGTTTCGTGGGAGAGGGAGGGAGGGGATCGGTGGTTCATGGGGAGGGGGGTCGATGCCAACGCCAGAGGTGGGTGGTCTGGGAACGACGGCGCCGGGGTGTAGGGTGTTTGGGGTTTGCAAGGGAGTGGCTGGGCTGGTGGGATGGTTTTCTTTTTTTTTAAAAAAAAAAATTGTTAAATATTTAATTGTTAAAAAAAAAAAAATTTAATAAAAATATCTCAATAATGTTATGGTTAATACGAAGTATATATTTATAATTAGCCAAATAAAGAGGATTAAGTTTTTTACATTTCACTAGGGAGAAAATTTATTAACATTTGGATTAGATTTGATTAATGGGATAGGTTTATAGTAATTTGGTATTGTGTAATTTTAGGAAAGTTATGCAATCCTAAGTTATATATGGTAAGTTTTATTTAGTAGTATGTGTTATCTTTGTATAGCCTATAATTCTATAAATATTGAAGAGGGAAGGGGTAATTAAATCATAACTCAAAAGTTACAAGTAATAACACAATGTCTGTATTGTTAGTGACGAGCCTCGGTGTCGATTTTTTAACAATGAATTGCTAAATCACGTCCGGTATTTACTGGGTGATGCCCGTATTTTAACACGACTATACAAACATGCCCCCTTATAAATTCACCCTATTTCACTTTCACCTCCTTTAAACTCTCTTTCTTGTTACCCCACCACCCACCAAACATCCACCGCCACCTAACAACCACCCCCACCACTCCACGTCAGATTTTTTTTAAGAAAATTGCTTTACTCTTCAACGATTAGCACAAGCGGTGAATGGACGAGTTTGAGAAAGCGACGACACCACCGGAGAGGTTGCCGGAGCATCTCTAAATTTTCGTCCGTTTTTTTTATTTTTATTTCGTAATCGTAGGAGAAACGCCTGGAATTTTAAAATATCCCCCGGCACATTCTAAAATTTTAGGCGTTTTAGGGGGGAACACCTGAAATGTTAGAATGTCCCGAGAAAGATTCTAAACTATCAGGCGTTCCTTCCATGGCATGAACGCCTGGAATATTAGAATCCACCTCGGGATATTCTAAAATTTCAGGTGTTCCCTTCCTGAAACGCCTGAAATTTTAGAATGTGGCAGGAGAGATAATAAAATTTCAGGCGTTATTTTCAAACGAACGAAAATTTAAAAAAAAAAAATTAACATGCTCGCCGGTGTTAATTCCCCTGCCTTTGTGATTATGTTGATGAAAAGGGAAGACCACTTCAAAACATAAGAATTAAGTACGTTTATGTACTTTTTGACCCTTTTGAAGACTCGCCGTGTTTGGTAACTCCTCAAGGCAAATAGAAAGAAGAGGTATGTGATGATGATGTTAGGCTCGAAGATGATTGGGTGCCTGTGGATGAAAGTCTTGCTCCACATGAGCTCGATCAAGTTATTCGATCAAAGGAAGCATGCTCCAGAGCTGTTGTTCTTGAATGTATAGGTGATATCCCTGATGCAGATACAAAGCCTCCTGAAAATCAGTTGTTTGTATGTAGACTAAATCCGATTACAGAGGAGGAGGATTTGCACACAGTATTTTCACGCTTTGGGGCTATTAATTCTGTTACTATTGTTCGTAACAGGAATGGAGGTAGTGTGGGATTTGCTTTCATTGAATTTGAGAGCAAAGTAGCATGTGAACAAGCTTACTATGCCATGGATGGCTCATTGATTGATGATAGAAGGATACGCATTGATTTAGTCAAAGTGCTTATAAAGAATGGAATAAATTTAGGCTGAAGAGGGCACGAGCCAATGATTCTTCAAATGATCAGATGACCCGATCAAGATCCCTTTGACCAAAGAGGAATCATAGATCCTTTGTGGACAAGGCTACAATGGGTGGGCGAAGAGTGAATTCCCACGGAATAACAAAGGCTCAAAGCAGAGTTGAAGCATAGATCTTGCAAGAAAACCAATTGTAAACTCTCAAATATTGCTGCATTATCTGTCAGAATTTTTTATTTGAACAGGATGTTTGATTTTCAGATGCTGTTGTAATTTTCAAATGTGGTGTCTAACTTGTAGAATTGTTATCTTTGTATTATTCGATCAACAATTGAATGCATATAGAACAAATGAATTGTTTTAGGTCCATAATATAGAGTAATGTAATAGTCCTGGTGAAAATCATATTGATTCGAACATGCAGAGTTGTCATGATATATTGTGCTTCGATTTGCCTTCAACTGAGATGTTATACATTGGCATTTTTTTTCTGTTGTCCTAAGCATCTGCAACTGTATGCCATTATGCGGATTAAGGAAATCCAAATCCTTCGTTGTTTTACTGTCTGAAATCCTATCTCTTATTAGGCCAGTCAGCTGTCTAACCGTCTGCCAGGTTAGCCTGCTTACTGCATCAATTATTTCTGACTGAAATCTGCTCCTCTTAATCAAGCTGTTTTGTTATGTTTATTTTTCCAGACATTTACTTGATCACTCCAACTGAGTCTGAACTTTGATGCTCCTCCACAGCTGACAAGGTTATTTGCACCTGGTTAATATCCTGACCCAACATACATGTCACTAGTAGTGTCTCCTCTCTGCTTGTATCTAGGTGTGCTACTGACTGCGCGGAAGATAAAGGGAAACGGCTATTTCATCTCATTTCTCTGCTTGGGGTAAGAAAAACAGAAAGAAATTTAATTTAGTTTGTATGTCCTTCACAAAGTTAAGTGGTTAACTGACTGCGCGCTACCCCTACTGATTCAGGAATCCAGAGTGCAGCAGATGACATCAGTAGCAATGAAGACTAGAATAGATTTTCAGATGTAAACCATTCTAATACCGCTATTCTCAAGAGTTTTCCTTCCTTGACATCGAGGATCTCAATAATAGTAGCTGTATAGCTGAATTGTGATATGCCGCCGTGGAATTTGGAGGTCGCGAACAACCATTTTCAATTCAAGCATCCTAGCAGCAGCTAATATCATGTATGTAAAGCTTGAGTCTAGGCTCTGATAAGTGTTAGTATTTGGTTTCCCTTTTATAAGAACTTAATATATTACTCTTTATAAATGAGTTGCTGTGATATTGGAATTGAGTGTGATGTAAAATCTTAGGTTAGCAGTTGAATATCATTAGATGTGACACCTACTTTGATGTATGATGGTTTACTAGCTTATATGATGTTTTTTTTCTTTTTTAATCCAATTGTGAAGGCATATGTTTACACAAGTTTTTGAGTTTGACAGATTGTGCTTTTTACCTAACATATCAGCTTTTAAATTGCTTCACCTGAATTAAAACAAAAACAATATTGTAACATATGGATTATAAAATAATTTAATTAGACCATACTGTATAATAAATTACACTTGCAATGAATTTGATGATTTCTGAATATAAGAAACAATGAAATTACTAATAATTGATAGAAAATATTTTATTCGTATAGTGTATGATATGTGTATGGTTCAAATAACACAATTTAAGTGTGAAAATTGAAAAAGTATAGCGTATTTTAGATGAAAAAGTGTGAATAAAATGCCGTGAAAGTATTAGAGTATATAAATTAAGACATAAAAAAAGATGAGACAAGTACCTTAAAACACATAAATTATACTTCGTATTTAAGCTCGCTTCTCAAGCTACAAAATTAAGTTCTGATGTCTCAATCAAAGTTCAAATAAAATCAGAAGGGACTATGAATGCCCCTATTGATATCATTCCTGTAATACTCATCTAGATATTTTTAATTCCACACTATAGTAGTATAGTGACCTTCTTAATTTGATTTTAACTAAATCGCTAAGATGTGTTTAGAGTGTTTCTACAATAAACATAATTCTAACTTAGTAGTATATAATATACACAAAGCCCAAAAAACTTTAACGGTTGTACTATATGTAGTGTTTAGACTTGATTAATTTATATCATAATAATTTTAGTAACTTACGACAAAATTACGCATTAATCGTATGATCGACTTTATTATTAATACTAGTTTTGTGCCCGGACGATTTTCAAATGGTTGATAAAATTTTAAGATAATATTTTTACTTGAATGTTAAATCGGTCAAATAATTCGTTCTGATACACCTTTCGTGTTTTAAAAAGTGTTACACTTACCAAATGTAGCCGTGTTTTAATAAGTGTTATACTCCTTTTTTCGGCAAAAAGCTACATTTTAATACTATATTTTTCTCCTCTCATGGTCCCCACCCAAACCCACTAATAAATTTTTTATTATTTCCCTCCTCTCACATTCGTTACTTTCAATAAATTATTAATCCCATTATCTTTCTTTTACAATTTTTTAATACTTCAAATACCCACTTATCTCTTATTTTATTTAAGTCAATTAAATTGCCTAAAACTATGTGCCGGTCAAAGTGTAACACTTATTAAAACACGGAGGGAGTAATGTAGGATATTTAGACATACCATATCATATGACTTATATTTATATAATAGTGTATTTTTTGTAGTTTTATTTGTAAATAGATATATATGTTATTATTGACTTGAAATTATTTTTATTGAACTTAAATTATTTTCACTAAACTGAAAGTATTTTTACCAAATTAAAATTACTTTTACTGATTAAAACTTATTTTTACCGATTCTCTAATATATTTTTTTAAATAAATTAAGTAACAATGCATTTTGTATGCGGTTAGCCACACCATCTGGCCGGACAAAGTAACCCCTATAAAACTGACTGAGTAACCCCTGTGATACTAACTAAGTAACCTCTAACATTGACTAAATAACCCCTATTTATAACACTGATTGAGTAACCACTATAACACTGACCAATATAGCACTAACAAAGTAACTCTTGTAATAGTTACTGACCAATATAGCATTAACAAAGTAACTCTTGAGTAACCACTATAACACTGACCAATATAGCACTAACAAAGTAACTCTTGTAATAGTTGGTGACACGGTTTGGCTAGTTACGTATAAAAGTTTGTGATTAAATATATTATAAATGGATCTTATTTTAAAGATTTTTTAAAATGAATTTGACGATGGAAATAGCTTTTAGTTATAGATATTTATTAAAAGTTATGATTATTTTTGTATATATAAAATATTATAATTCTATCGATAATAAAATTCTATACAACAATCTTAACTTAAAAAATCTATCCGAAAAACTGGAATGCCAAGTGTCGCTGTCTCGTGGCCTAGCTGCAAGACCGGCTTTATTTATTAGTGATATGATATGATTTGCTACAGAGTATTTTAAAATCTTTTTATTTTCATCTTTGGAGTATTATTTTCCAAAGAAAAAAAGATATTGACATAAAAATATTTACTTAAAATCAATTAAATCAGGGTTGTTTATAGATTAATTAGGTATATGAAAAATTAATAAGATATAGCTGAGTTGTGCCTTTTCAAAAAGTAGTTGATTAGTTAAAAGATGTACACTTGACAACAGAAACATCTTCCTTAAAACTCCCGCAATTTTTCAAACTTACTAAGACGTTGCTTCTCATCTCTCTTTCCTCTTTTATTCACTTAAGAAATTGGCACCAAACTAACTCTTCTACCAAACTCTCCCATACAAAATCCGCTCTACACCACCTTTGCTTCTGAATAATGAGTGATGAGTATCTTCATCTAATATAAAGACTTAGCTAAACTCAGGTTTATTGGTAGAGAAAGAAAGAAAAGCAGCCAAAGATGATGCAATCTGGCCTTCCACAGTGTAACACTTGCGGCGAGCCAGTAGGACTTGATTCGAATGGAAATGTGTTTGTGGCTTGCCTTGAATGCAATTATCCTGTTTGTAAGGCTTGTGTTGATTATGAGATTAAAGAAGGTAAAAAGGCTTGCTTTCGTTGTGCTGCTCCCTACGAAGGTGTGTCACCTGATTTCTTTCTCATTAGTCCTAATCATTTTTTCGTGTTGCATCATAATAATTTTATGCAAATGTGGAAAGTTTAATTCCTGTAGTATTGCTAGATTCTAACTTATGTCGAATGAATCATTAGATAATGTGACATATGATGAGGGCGGTGTTGAGGCATCTGGTAGTCACAAGAACAAGACAACCCATCTCACTAATGAGCAGGTATTAAAATGGTTAGCCATAGTTGTAAATTTTAAGATAAAGTTTATTAAATTTATGTTATGTTGTATACTGATCGATTAATCTTGGTTGAATCGGTACCAGGATCTTGGCCTACATGCTCGAAACATGAGCACTATCTCCACAGCTGATAGTGGTGAGCATTTATAACAATTCATGAAGTTTATTTCGAACTTTTCATATTAGTGGTTGCATAACTAATAAATCAATTATGTTTTATGTCTATTTTATCAGAATTAAATAGTGAATCTGGAAGCTCGATATGGAAGCATCGGGTGGAGAGTTGGAGAGAAAGGAAAGACAAGAAGAAAAAGAATGTTAAAGAGTCTAAAGTTTCAAAAGAAGTTGAACAAGTTCCATTAGAACAACAGATGGAGGAACATCAGTAAGTTTTAGCTTTGATAAGAATTGATCATAACACTTTGCAAGTGCATCAAAGAAGAAAAACATTTGTTGAACCAAGTTAACTTAATTTTGTGCAATTGTAACCTTATAAAATTTCTTCATGAAATGCCTTTGGAACTAAGCACGTTCATAAATCAAGAATATGATATGTAAGCGTGTTGGATTGAGAAAAAGGAATCCATAATTCTCAGATGTGTGTTTCTGTTACAGGTTTTCAGAGGCTGCTGCACAGCCACTTTCAAGAATTATTCCGATCCCAAGAACCAAGATCACCTCATACAGGATCATGATCATTGTGCGGTTGATTATTCTTGCACTGTTTTTCCACTACAGATTAACAAATCCTGTGGATAGTGCCTTTGGTCTATGGCTTACTTCTGTTATCTGTGAGATCTGGTTTGCTTTTTCCTGGATTTTGGATCAGTTTCCTAAATGGCAGCCCATCAATAGGGAGACATTCATCGATCAGTTGTCCTTGAGGTACTTTTATGTTAACAACATCGTGATGATTTTGTTGTATAATACGTAGTCTTTAGGCTATTTGATGCATCATTTGAAACCAAAACCCTGCTGTATGTCTATGGTATGGACTTTTTCATATGAATACAATGACAAACTATTGATTTGTATTACTTCCATCTAACAATGTTTTTCTGCTTTTTGTGGCTCATGATGAGAGGGATCCAATTTGCTTTTTTGCATCCTTGAAACCAATTGCTCAATCATTAATTTTGTATTAAAGTGAAATTATATGATGATGATCTTATGATGTTATATTAATGATACATTTGCTATGATATCAATGTGTTTTTTAGCATATTAATTATTACAGTATTTGGATAAAAGTTCAAAGAATATGATTGAAGTAGTGGATTATGCAAAGAATCATTGTAGTTGTAATGAGTCATGAGTTCATACTTCGTATAATTTTCATATTAATCTAGTAGCTAATGTATGGAAAGACAAATAAGATGTGAAAGGAAAATCAATGTTATTCGAGTATAACATGTTAGAAGTCTTAACCTCTTCATTTATGCTAATTATTTTAATTTTTTCAGGTACGAAAGAGAAGGAGAACCTTCACAGCTTGCAGCTGTGGACTTCTTTGTGAGTACCGTGGATCCATTGAAAGAACCGCCTTTAATCACAGCCAATACTGTACTCTCCATCCTTGCTGTGGACTATCCTGTTGATAAAGTCTCCTGCTATGTATCTGATGATGGTGCTGCAATGCTTACCTTTGAGTCACTTGCTGAGACTTCTGAATTCGCAAGAAAGTGGGTTCCTTTTTGCAAGAAATATGAGATTGAACCGCGAGCTCCTGAGTTTTACTTCTCACAGAAGATTGACTACCTTAGGGACAAAGTGCAGCCTTCTTTTGTGAAGGAACGCAGAGCGATGAAAGTATGCAACTCATGTGACTAATTCATGTAATATTTGTATTTACAATGATTTGTAAAGGCAGTGATCTTATGATGTTTACTTTTTATATGACAGAGAGATTATGAAGAATACAAAGTGAAGATGAATGCCTTAGTTGCCAAGGCACAAAAAACCCCAGACGAAGGCTGGACTATGGCAGATGGAACACCTTGGCCAGGAAACAATAGTCGTGATCATCCAGGAATGATCCAGGTGTGTATTATTACATCTTTGTTTTTGTCTTTAAGATGTAACTAGAGTTGGTCATATGTTTCAGCCAAACTTTAAATTTGAGACTAAAATATCTGCCCCATGTCATGTCTGATGTTGTGGCTAAAACATCTGCCTGAACCTGGGATATCAGGGCGGTCCTGGCAATTTAGATCAGCTGTATGAAGCAAGAATCTTGTAGTCATTGGATTACCAAAGTCGCCAAGTATATGACCTCAAGAATTTTCCTTTAGTACATGACAGCAAGGGGCTTAGATGATTTATGCGTGGTTGTAATTCTGTGACAGTCAGAAGCAATATTCATTTACCTGCAAATGCTAGTCTGATTCTATATACATCTTACATATTCATTTACCAATTTGGAATTTTGTAGGTTTTCCTTGGAAATACTGGTTCTCCTGACATAGAAGGTAACGAACTTCCAAGGCTCGTTTATGTTTCAAGAGAAAAGAGGCCAGGATTTCAGCATCACAAAAAAGCCGGTGCTGAGAATGCTTTGGTAACTATCCAAAACCTTAATTAACCACAAATTAGCATAAAATCTACCTTTAAGATGCTACTTATAACATTTCATATAAATTCTTTTTTTCTCACAGATTAGAGTATCTGCAGTCCTCACAAATGCTCCCTACATTTTGAACCTTGATTGTGATCATTATGTCAACAACAGCAAGGCAGTTCGCGAGGCAATGTGCTTCCTGATGGACCCTGTAGTCGGTCAGGATGTTTGTTATGTTCAGTTCCCTCAAAGATTTGATGGTATTGACAAGAGTGATCGATATGCCAACCGCAATGTTGTCTTCTTTGATGTAAGATACACTCTATCTTTAAAATCTCTATTACAAATTTTTAATATACTTTATGCATATTTTGGAAGTAAAAGTAATGTCCTTACCTATAAATCATTGTGCTAGGATGACTTCATTGCCTTCAGAATTTCCAGCTGACATTTTCTCATAAGATTATCTTACTCAATTTTGCACTACTCAATGGCATTGTAAAAAATAAGACCTGTAGGCAATTCATAGCTAGGAAAAAGCTGGTGTTACTCTCTTTATTTTCCTGTCCTTTATTCCTTGAACTCGTTTCAGGTTAATATGAAAGGACTTGATGGGATTCAAGGGCCAGTTTATGTCGGAACTGGTTGTGTGTTCAATAGGCAAGCACTATACGGCTATGGACCACCATCATTACCTAGTTTATCCAAATCATCCTCGTCTTCCTGTTGCTGCTGTCCTTCCAAGAAGAAGGAAGAAAAAGATGTCTCAGAGCTTAACCGTGATTCAAAACGTGAAGATCTAGAATCTGCCATATTTAACCTCAAGGAGCTCAACAGTAAGCTTACTTATACCTGTAATTATTAATATATCAAGAATGTCAGGCATAAATAACTTACAGGATTAACACTAATTATTCTAAATAAAAATACAGATTATGATGAATATGATAGATCAATGTTAATCTCTCAAACAAGCTTTGAGAAGACATTTGGATTATCCACTGTGTTCATCGAGTCTACATTGATGGAGAATGGAGGTGTTCCAGATTCTGCTAACTCACCAACATTGATCAAGGAAGCGATACATGTCATTAGCTGTGGGTATGAAGAAAAGACAGCCTGGGGAAAAGAGGTAAATGAACTTGTTGCAAGATTATGCAATCTTATCAAAACTTCTTAGCAGTCTTTTGAATCTCTTGAAAATACTATGATGTACATTAAGGTTTTACTAGCCCTATCACATTTCAACATCCTCAGACCCTCTACGAATGGCAATATCATACAGGGCATGTTATTGACCGCCTCCTATTTTTCATTTTGACAGATTGGATGGATATATGGATCTATTACAGAAGATATCTTGACTGGGTTCAAGATGCAATGCCGTGGTTGGAGATCAATATACTGTATGCCCTTAAGGCCTTGCTTTAAAGGGTCTGCACCAATTAACTTGTCTGATAGACTGCACCAGGTCCTTCGTTGGGCTCTTGGATCAGTGGAGATTTTCTTTAGTAGACATTGTCCACTTTGGTATGGATTTGGAGCTGGCCGCCTTAAGTTGCTTCAAAGATTGGCATACATTAATACCATTGTTTACCCTTTTACTTCCCTTCCTCTTGTTGCCTACTGTACATTGCCTGCTATCTGCCTCCTCACCGGAAAGTTCATCATACCTACTGTAAGTTTTTTTTACATCATCAGCACCAAATATTTCAATAATCCTCAGATAAGGCAGTACTATTTCAGAATTTCAGCAACTAGTTTAATTGACTCGTATGAAAAATGGCTAAGAAACTAAGAAAGTTACAAAACTGATGAATTACATTTTCAGTATGTAAACTTGACATTGTTCTTCTGATTTACAGCTATCAAACCTGGCAAGTGTGCTCTTCTTAGGCCTCTTCACGTCCATCATACTCGTCAGTGTGTTAGAACTAAGATGGAGTGGAGTAGGCATCGAGGACTTGTGGAGGAACGAGCAGTTCTGGGTCATTGGAGGGGTCTCAGCTCACCTGTTTGCTGTCTTCCAAGGACTGCTGAAGATGCTTGCAGGGTTAGACACCAACTTCACTGTCACGTCAAAATCAGCTGATGACACTGAATTTGGAGAACTCTATGTTTTCAAGTGGACTACCCTTCTTATCCCTCCCACCACCCTCATCATCCTCAACATCGTCGGAGTGGTGGCAGGGTTTTCTGATGCCTTGAACAACGGCTATGATTCGTGGGGACCACTCTTCGGAAAGGTCTTCTTTTCCTTCTGGGTGATCCTCCATCTGTACCCCTTCCTTAAGGGTCTTATGGGAAAGCAAAACAGGACACCTACTATTGTGGTGTTGTGGTCAGTGCTGTTGGCCTCAGTTTTCTCCCTTGTTTGGGTCAAAATCGACCCGTTTGTCAGCAAGGTGGACAGTAAGAGTATTGCTCAGAGCTGCATTTCCATTGATTGTTGAAAAAAACAAGCAAAATCATAGCATATAGTTTTTGTGTCTTTCTAGAATAATTTTGGTTTATTTTTTGATATATGTATGAATTGATCATAAGCTGTTGGAGTAAATTTTAAGCAAATTCCACTTATGGGCTATGGCATTAGGTGGGTGTCTTTCTTTTTTAGGAAATTACTCTAGGAACAAAAGGGTGTGATGCATTTCATACTTTTACGTACAAACGTGAATGTTAACAACTGCGTTGTTGGTTAAAATCTTGGAGGTGGGGATCAAATCCCGTTTACATCTATACCTTTCTTGAAGGGAACTAACACAAACCATTTCAGTAATTTGAGTTGTCATTACCATAAAATAATCATACACCGTTAACTTTCCTCATGTTAACGCTGGTTAGAATTTCAATTTTGAGTATAATAAGATTAACAGAAAAAGAAACAACGTCATGAATAATATAAACAGTAAAATTATGAAGTGTGGATCCTCCTACCTTCCAACATTATTATGGATTAGTCTAAAGCTAAATAGTCATGCTAATTATGATCTGATACTAATACATTTAAATTGGCCATTGAACATTTGACCATTGAAGTTGTTTGGGTCCAATTTAGTCCAATTGGGCCTAGATATTAAATGATCTAATTAAAAGCCCAAGGTCAAGGTTCAACTCTCCAATTGTGCTAAAGTCAAAGGTCAGCCCACAAAGCAAGCCAATTGGGCTAAGGCCCAACCTCTCCATGTATGATGAGGTATAAAAGCCATCAATATTGATACATTCATAGGTTCATTCATATGTTCATTCATATATTCTGATATATTCCATTAAAGCCTCAAGCAACAAACTCTCTTGCATAGTGTCCTCTTCTTACACATTGTACTGACTTTAGCATCGGAGGGGCCTTCCTCGGCAACACCCCCGAGGCTAGTTTACGTGTGTTTACTGTGCAGGAAACCTTCGGCCCAACATAACTTGGACCGAATCCAGCCTTCTCCGTTTCAGCGGACCTTCGGCAAGGTCCCATTGTTTTCACCCGAAACAATTTGGCGCCGTCTGTGGGGAAGACTTTCAAAAATCTTTAAGCCAAATTCCTAACCAAGATCATCTTGCAATTATCTTAGCAGCAATGGCTAAGAACCGCAAGAGCAAAAGCCTCCGTCAAGGAGCGGGCGAAAAGCCTAAAACCCCTACACCATCACCCTCGCCGGACCGGAACTCTCCCAAGGGTGCCGGCTCGGGGGGAGGATCATACAAGGAGGATTCCCTATCTCCCGTAATTCATGACTCTCATTATAGGCCGGGTCACTCTCGGTCTAGCAGGGGTGAGTCCGATCATAGGACACATTCAGTGTCCCAAAGCCAACCATCGGCTGCGCGCCCTCATTCCCACACTCGGCCGAGGACCCCTTTGACGGGGCCCAACTTGGAAGAGGTGGCAAGAGCGCTAGCAGTACTCATGGAGGCGATGAGGGCACAAAATATGCCACCACCTCGTGATCGAACTCCTCCGCATACCCGGCATCAGCGGAGGAAGTTAGACCATGATGGTGGGAAGCTTCCTTCCTTCCGGGAACTGGAAGAGTGGGAGGAGGATTCCTGGAAAAATGAAAAACAGAGGAAAAAGAACCCTCAATTTTTAAAATGATCCTCATCCTCAAGACCAGAAGCGCATAAGAGCAGCAGCTCAGCTTCTCGGCCAGAATCTACTCACCGAGAACCTGAGACTGTTCGCAGAAGTGTCCTTGACCGACTCGGCGGCAAGGAACCGAGTGTGCACAGTCGCCTCTCGTTCCCTGCAGCCGAGGCCCAGACTTCCCAGCCAGGGACGAAAACCACTCCTACCTCTCTAAGAGGGCGGAGCGCGGTCCCTTCGGCCAGGAACAAGGGCAAGGCCGTTATGCTACCCGCCAGTTCACCATTCGAGCAATGGATACTGGAAGAGCACGTACCCACGGTTAAAATACCGTCGCACATCACATATGACGGGACCACGGATCCGAAGGATCACGTGGCCTCGTATGAGACTCATATGCATCTTTGCCCCAGATCCGAGGCGACTTGGTGCAAATATTTCCCAACCACTCTCAAGGGGGTCGCGCAAGCGTGGATCTCCAAGGGAGTAAGGCAAGGCTCCATAACAGGGTGGGATGATCTGTCCTCCAAGTTCAGGAGCAAGTTTTCCACGGCAAACCGCCGAGAGAAGACTACCACAGAGCTCATGAGTCTGCAACAGGGGGAAACCGAAAGCCTCCGAGACTACCTGACCCGTTTCAGTAACGAGTCATCAAACGTCTCCCAGCTGGACCAGGGGCTAGCCGTTTTCGCAATGCAGAATGGCCTTTAGCCCGGAAAGTTCCTAGACTTCATGGTCATGCATACCCCGCACACCTTGGAGGAAGCTCTTAATGCTTCGGATAAGTTCATCCGAGCCGAAGAATGGAACAAAGCGAAAACCCAACCTCAATTCGGGGGAGGGAAACAGAGACAAATACCCTTGTCTGAAGGCCAAGGCCATAAGGCAAAGGGAAAGTCAAAGGCCCCGGAGCAATCTTTGGCCATCGACCCAAAGAAGGAAAGATCTGCCTCATACACAGGCAGATACGAGTCCTACACTCCGCTCTCTCTTCCACGCGCCAAAATTTACAGCGTGACGAAGGAGGAGCAGAGTTACCGAAAGCCGAGACCACTCCCAGAGTGGTATCAGCGAAAAAATAAAAATCAGTGGTGCGAGTTCCACGAGTCTTCGGGACACAACACTGAGGAGTGTATCCAACTGAAGGACCAGATAGAGGACATGGTCCGGAAGGGATACTTGAAAAAATACATCGCGGATCACCGCGAGAAAAAAGAATCCGAGAGGTCAGCAAAGGACCCTCGGCAGGACCTCGACTTCCCCCGGAAAAACAGTAAAAAGCCGGAGGGGAAATTCCCTCTGATCAATGTTATCTCGGGAGGAATATACTCTCGGAGGGAGCACAAGCGCCACCTTAGAGCTTTGACTCACCAGGTGAACAACGTTGACATTCAATCTCCCCAGTCGCCGGTGCCGAACATGACGTTCACAGCCGCCGACTGCCGGGGGATTACGTTCCCTCACGAGGATCCGTTGGTGATCATCGCCACGGTGGCCAACCACGACGTCAGTAAGGTCCTTGTTGACGGTGGCAGTGGAGCAAACATTCTGTTCCGAAAGGCCTACAATCAAATTAAGCTGAAGCCCAAGCACCTTACGCCAGTACCCTACCCGGTATCCGGGTTCAATGGGGCTTCAACTTATCCAGATGGGAAGGTGACACTTCCTGTCACCATCGGTTGCGATGAGGCAGCCCGGAACGTCATGATTGAATTTTTGGTCATCGACGCTCCTTCAGTGTACAACGTGATTTTGGGGAGACCCATAATTCACGAGATCTAAGGGGTCGTCTCAACTTATCATCAGCTGATGATTTACGTCTCAGACGCCGGCTTCCCCGAAAGGATACAGGGCAACCAAAAGGACGCCCGAAGGTGCAACTACCTCAAGCCATCCAGTAGTCGCCCAGATGACGACAAGGATGAGGAGGAGAAAGAAAAAGAAAGAGAGCCAAGCACAAAAAAGCCAAAAGGCCTAAGTGCTTCGGCCCAAGGATCTGTGCCCAGAGAAAAAGGGCCCGAAAGGGAAAAGGCTAGCTCTTCAGCTGAGCCGCAAGACTCAGAGAGCCAGCCGAAGAACAAAAAGACTGGGACACCTGCTGACATTGGCAGCAGGCCAGATTCTGAAGAGTCCAGTCCATCGGCAATGGACATGGACCAACAGACTGAAACAGTTGAGTTGGCCGAAGGAGACGGTGAGAAATGTGTAACAATCGGGATGAACCTTGATCCGAACACCCGTTGTGAACTTATTCAGCTCCTTCGGGACAACAGAGATGTGTTTGCTTTCTCGGCAGCTGATATGCCCGGGATAAGTTCAGACCTCATCTCCCATAAGCTTAATGTTGACCCGACGTGTCGACCAGTTAAGCAAAAGAAGCGGAATTACTCCGCCAATAAGAACCGAGACATCGCAGCCGAGGTCAAAAAATTATTGGAGGCAGGATTCATCGAACCTTGCCAATATCCAGAATGGCTGGCAAATGTGGTGATGGTTCAGAAGCCCAATGGTACCTGGAGGATGTGCGTTGACTTCACGGACCTAAATAAGGCTTGTCAAAAGGATTTCTATCCCTTGCCGAGGATCGATCAGCTAGTCGATTCGACAAGTGGCCATGCCTTGCTTAGTTTCATGGACGCATTCTCGTGGTATCATCAGATCTTTATGCACCCCGACGATCGAGCAAAGACAGCATTCGTCACGAACGCTGGGGTGTACAATTACAAAATGATGCCCTTCGGATTGAAAAATGCGGGGGCAACCTATCAAAGGCTGGTGGATCAAGTTTTCGCCGATCAAAAGGGCCGAAACATGGAAGTCTATGTTGACGATTCGATCGTCAAAAGCAAAAAACTAGAGGACCATGTAAAGGACCTGGCTGAAACTTTCGCCACCTTGAGAAAGCATCAAATGAAGCTGAATCCGAAGAAGTGTGTCTTCGGCGTGAAGTCAGGGAAATTCCTTGGGTTCATGGTCAGCAAAAGGGGGATTGATGCCAATCCCTCTAAAGTCAAAGCGCCACTCGACCTTCCTGAGCCGAAAACGAAGCGGGATGTTCAGCGGCTCACCGGAAGAATGGCAGCCCTCTCGAGGTTCATTTCCAGAGCTTCGGATAAGGGGTTACCTTTCTTCAAAGCCCTGAAACTCCCGAAAACAAAAGAGCTCGTTTGGGAGGAAGAGCAAAAAGACGCCTTTAAACAGCTTCGGGAGCATCTGGCTGAACTCCCAACGCTGGCTAGCCCAGCTGAAGGAGAAACTTTGTACCTATATGTGGCCGTTAGCCCAGCCACCATCAGCGCAGTATTGCTGAAGGAAGAGAGTAAGAGTCAGCAACCGATCTACTTCGTCAGTTATACACTGACGGATGCCGAGACTCGCTATCCTCTACTCGAGAAAGTTGCTTTCGCGGTAGTAGTAGCTGCTCGGAAGCTGAGGCCCTATTTTGATTGCCATCAGATAGTGGTCTTAACTGATCAGCCGTTGGAAAAAGTTCTCGGCAAGGTTGAAAAATCTGGTAGGCTAGCCAAGTGGGCTTTTGAGCTCACCGAATTCAGCATCAGCTACCGTCCGAGGGCTGCCATTAAGGCTCAAGCTCTAGCGGATTTCTTGGCCGAATGCTCATACCAAGAAGCGCTAGACAGTGAAAAGAAAGTTTGGACCG